AGACCTGAGCAACGAGGGCAAGCGGCACGCGGCCAAGATGGACGAGTACAACAAGCAGGCGTCGGACTATATCTTCCGGGAGAACAACGCGCCGGGCCGCGTGGCCGACGACACCATCGACCTGCACGGGCAGTTCGTCGAGGAGGCCGAGGACATCCTCGAGCAGCGCATCCGCTACGCCACCCAGCAGGGGCAGACGCACCTGCACGTCATCGTCGGCAAGGGCAACCACTCCGCCAACCACGTGCAGAAGATCAAGCCCCGCGTCGAGCAGGTCTGCCAGGAGCTGGGGCTGAAGTACTCTACCGAGGAGAATGCCGGCCGGATCTATATTAATCTGCAGGGTGGGGAGGCAGTGCCGCCTCCCGGGCTGCCGAACCAGCCGAGTGGGCAGCCTGGGGGCTACGGAGGTTATCCGGGTCAGCATGGTGGGCAATCTGGTGGGCAACACGACGGACAAGCTCACCACGGAGGTGGGCAACAGCATGGAGGTCAACAGCACGGTGGAGGTCAACAACACGGTGGTGGTCAGCAGCAACAGCAGGGTGATGCCGTGGAGAAGATCATTTCGAAGCTGGTCAAGAAGCTGGGAGACTGCTGTGTGGTCATGTAAGGGCCTGCTTGATATATTGGACTAAAGATGGATGAAATATCATGAGCGAGGTTGCTCGCAGTGGAAAGATACTATATTCTAGATATCTTGCCGTTTGACATGTACATAACTATCTTTCAGGGAGGGGAGGATCTGATGGGACTGGTTATCACGAAGCTGCTTAAAACAAGGCATTGGAGGCTACGTCTTGAGAGATTGTACCGAATTTGAGATGAATTCGAGATAGTGGAGTTGATAGTGGCATAGACACATCACACTATGATACACGGATTGGAAAACTTGTCACAAGAAACTCAATTCATCGCATGCAACTATAGACCACTGCTGTATACAATGCTGAGTGGCACTGTTTACAGTCGTTCATTGCCATATCTCGAGGAGCGCAAGAGTCCAACGAGAGACCGTTGCGAGTCTTTAATTAACCAGAACGCCTTCCTCGTTCTCCTCCACATCTTCTTTGGATGTAGTCCGTCACGTCAACCCGAAAGTCTCGACAGAATAAATAATGAACTGTAGTGCAAAGCTGCTGCCCTTCCATCAACAGCCAAACTTCGATCGCCATCCGCCCGTTGATCGTTTCCTGAATCCGCTTCTACGTCCCCGTCCAACACGGTTTGATACGTAATGCTAAGGTCCTCTGGTGTCAAATCAATATTCAACAGTATGCAGCTGACTGCCACATAATGCCACCCGCCAATGAATCACTAATCATTACTCATATTTCGTTCATCTAAGGTGCCATTTACCCAGTTGACGAGCATTGAGAGATGCGGTAACGTACTATCAGCGGAAGGTCTATCAGCGGAAGCACCATCACCGTTCTAAGGAGCATCTGGATCTTCCACTACAAGAGTGCAAGTTAGTGACTGTTATACCGTAAAACTGAGGAGTGCCCGGGATTTCACTTACTGATGGCTTCAGGAGGTTGGTGGTGACCCTGGGCCTGTTCGTGTACCTGCTCCTCGTGGAGGGTCTCTTCGTAGGACACGATCTGGAAGGCCAGTTGCTTGGCGGCAGCCTCGATCAAGAGCATCTGTCTGGTCTTCTTGTCCGCAGCTCTGATTTCGGCCATCGACCGCTCGATGGTGAATCTGACGACGGGATCGACAGAAGCCGGGGCGGAAACGTAGTTGAAGCCTCCTAGGGCCGCAGGCGGGATAGCAGGCATGTTGAAAGAGCCGTCGGGCATGACTGCTCCGGGATGAGCTGCTGGATTGCGGGTCTCTGTGCCAAACGCGGATCAGCTACGGTCTTCTTCGCGGGGATGCAATCTTACCGTGGAAAGAGCATCGTGCACCAGACGCATTGAACCAACAATTCGCGCAACTACCACACATCTGACCATCCACCACAACACACGTAGTCCAGGGTCCATGGCCCTTGTGGCAATTCTTGCACTGTACAGCAGCCGGCTCGCCAGCGATGTGCGCAAATAATGCCTCGACATTACTACGTCTTCCCAAGTTCAGTACCTGCTCGGGTCGTCGCTGCTGGGCTAGCCGCATGCCAGGCTCGCGTGCCAATCGCTTAGCCAATGCGCTCTCTACAACGACGTTGTCATAGCCCGACTGCATTGCCAGATTCTCCGTGGTGTGGGAGACATCTTGAGCGTCGTCAACTGGACCAACCTGGCCAAAGTCCGGGTGCTCATGGGGATTGACCATGGCGTTCGCGCCACTGCTGGCGAGGATGCTGGCTGCCGTGCTCAAGTCCATCTGCTGTTGTTGTTGCTGTTGTTGTTGTTGGGCTGCCGAGTGCTGGGCAGCCGCAGCAGCGGCGGCGGCGGCGGCAGCAGCCTCGGGGTCGAAGTCATGGTGATGGTCGTGCTGCTGGGGCTGATGCTCGATGTCATCTTGTCCGAGGTCGTGCTGCTCAAGGTCGGGATCCTGGTTGGGCACGGTATCAGCCACACCAGCGCGTCGACCAGGACGACGCGGTGTCGCTGCAGGTTTTGTAACCTTCGACGGCCGACCACGCGGGGGCTGAATGATACCTCCTCTGGCTGACATGGCGATGCTATCGTCGTCGGCTGTCAGGCAGTTGGATAGAGACGCGTGAGAATTGATGTGGAAAATCAGCTGTCGGCAGCTGATCAAGACAGTTGTGCGAGGTTTGAGTGAAATTTCGAGTCGTGTATCGCGGTCAAGGCCTCCGTTCTTGATTACATACATCATTTACCCCATATAAGTGGCCCATGCCTCCAATCAGAACCCTGCTTCTAGGACCGACTTTGTTCCTCAACCTAAGATCGCAAGTACCAGTATGCTCAACTTGAACAGTACCTAGGTACTTAAGTAAGGTCAACGGTTCATAATGAAAACTTTATTCTGCCTTGCCGCTCTGGCTCGCATTCATGTTCCTTCTTCATTTCTTTTCCTTCAATTCATATTTCAAGCAATAGTAGAATTGCCGCACACACCAGCTTGGGTACCGGGCATACGTAGTACGTGGCGATCACATTGAACTTGAGGGAAGCTCGAGACGGCAACTTCGCTTCGCCCTTTCCCTAGGACTCTTTCACGCCTGAAAGGATGCTTTGAGGACAGATGATAGTACTGCCGTACCGCGTAAGGAAGCCATCAATTCCGATGACTCGAAAAGTCTGATGAAAGAGAACAGCATATGTTTTCAAAGCCAGGGAGGGTGAAGACCCGTATCTACGCATTGAAAGGGGTGAGTACTTATAATAATACGTCGTTTAGGTGCGATTTGAAGTCTTTGGCGCCGTCAGGACTCCCGGGAGACGAGAGTGAATGACCTTTGAGATCATGAATTGTGCCTGAGGCTGATCTGGGCGATGGTTTAACTATCAGTGGCCGCGCTGCGTTGATTGAAACACGTCTCCTGCCCTCGTCTCGGTGTCTTTCTTGAAGAAACCCTTGCTCGGAACCCGATGGCAGCATTTGGTTAGGCCTCTTCAACACTAGATCTGTCCCAAGTCTGTCCTGTGGCACTTGGCAAGTAATCAGCGCAATCTCGTGGTTCGGGCCGACTTTGCTCATATACATTTGCGTGTCAGCCTGCCGAGAAGAGGATCTCGACTATTTAAATACCCCCTCCCGTCTAACTTACCTTCCACTGCTTTTGCTTCTTTCCTTCATATCAACATCTTAACACTAAGATAACTATTCATAGAATTACTTGCTTCGAAATCCAGATTACAGATATAACTATAACCTCCTCTCCTAAGCCGAATCCACTCACTCGTACCTCTGATGGCCCTCTATATAATATTACAAGTTCGATAACAGAAGTTGAGAATGCCGTCGTTATATATGGTACTAGTAGCAAGATCAGCTCGACTAGCACTAATATTCCAGAGCTCCTCGCCGCCCTACTTCGCTGTTCATATTCTCCTCTTCCCTCAAATGGTTCAAGTTTAGAGACCGAAGGCGAAACATATTGTTCTTCTGAAAGTATACAAAAGATTTCTATGAAAAATTTCTTTACGGTGTATGTTACCGTCATCGTCACAGTGGTAACGACTTAGTGGCGTTTACATAGTTGGGTATCGACTGGGATCGTTAGAGTTCGGCTTTACAGGTGCAAATTGTGTGCTGACTAGCGCCATTCATTGTTACCTAGAAGGAGAGCAATGAGTGGAATTTGCGTGAGGGACACTTATCGACATTCTCGTAAGAAACATCTTCCACTTTTATTTACTACGTAGTTATCAAGAAGGTTCAGTGCTGTATTTAAGGGCCTCTATCCAGGATATTAGTGGTCCTACCATAATGAACCACTTAATGTTTCGTCTGGTAGAATCTATACAAGAGTTTGTCGATCACAGCGAGGTGAGTATTATAATAAAGTCACGACAGCGCCGACCGTATTCCATACACCAGTAAGTGAGAGCTTCCCGCCACAGCTCCAGTGGCGAGGCAGTAGATAACTCGCCGGCTTCTGCCAGCGGATTTGACGACTGACAGACCGAGATCAACCATTATTGGGCAGTACATAGGTGTCGCCGCTGGTCACGTATCTGTTGTGCTCACATCCTTGGATCGACCTTCCGCGCGCGTATAACAGTCCCCAATGTTTCAACAGAGCGAACAAGAGCTGCTTCAGCGTCTCCGGCAGGCCAGGCAATGCGCTGACGAGGTCGAGTTCCAATCGCAACAGACAAACCTGGAGGAGTAACATGGCGGCGTCCACGATCGAGTCTTCAACCGCATGACCCTTGAAACCAACAAGATTTTGACCTTTAAAGGCTCCCTCACGAATCTACGCAATGATTTATGCCCAAAATTATTATGCCGGTAGAATGACTTTCCCAGACAGTAACAAACCGTTTTGAAGAACCTTTACGCATGTATTCAGATTATTTTGATATGAACCATAAAAAATCAAAAAGAGGGAATCTCTGGGAGAGATTTCAAGGAAGGTTTGCGCTCTCCGGGAATCGAACCCGAGTCTCATGCTTGGAAGGCAAGAATGATAACCTCTACACTAAAAGCGCCAATGTGCTATATTATGACCTAACGATATATGGTTATATATTCCTGTAGAAACTAACTCACTTAGGAGATAGATAAGCAAGCCCTTATCAGACACGTAATCAATGTGGATTGGCTGCGACAGCTTCAAAGTGGGCCTCCCCCACGAAAGTTAGCGAGCCATAACGCTGACCTCCCCAATTCTGCATTGCCAATTGAATTCGCGATTAATCATTTAATTAGTCGGTGTTACAAGCTACCTTGTATTAAGAAGTGATGCCCTCTGGTTAAGCTGTTATTCTTATTATTATCGGTGTTATAAGGTGCTTTATTGAAAGCCGCCGTGCTTAGTGCTACAGAACTTTCGGTACTCAGCAGAAGGATTACGAAAGAAGATGAAGAGCCCGTTGGGATCATCCCGAATCACGAAGAAGAGTCGACGACGGGTTTGACAGCATGTGATGACACACGGGATCAATGGTTCTGTGAATACTCTCATAGCAACGATGATCTAAGAGGATGTATCCCAGCAGCACTCAAGGCCGAGACCAGTCTAAGGAAGATTGGGCGACACCGCAAGATATGCCGGCCACCCATTCAGGAATGGTTTCTGGGATTCAAACAGATACTATGCTATAGCTCTTCTGTTTCTAGGTTGTCAGACGTGTTGCAAGTCATGAAGAATACTCTGCCGCAAGCCAAGTCGGAGAAACCCAAAGATATCTTCAAAGAGACCTTACTTCATCAGAATGAGTGCCTTCGAAAGGTCGAGGGGAAAACCAACAAGTTTGGCACAGCAGATTTGACCGTCAAGTTATGGCAATCTGCTGTAAACACTGCAAGAAACTCCTAAAGCCCGATCAAAAACCTAGATTCCCAGTGTATCGTCCCGGCGAGTACATACTTGCCGCGTGATACTGTCAGTGTATGCCGAACCGCATTAAAGTGGCAGAGATGATGGACAAAACAATCCCCTATACCAAACTTCGCGTGGAGAATCTGTATCACCGTCCTGTCCTCCACCCACCATTCGATTTTGAGCCATATCTACACCTGATCGGAGCCGAGAATGAGCATGGTCTCTCCAATGTGCCAACTTGGTGTATCTCATGTCGGGCACGTGTCATGACTGATTCAAATTTACCATGGACCCGGACTCAGCCTTCTTTCTATCTCGAATTAAACCAGGAATGCACGAATTGTTACATGACAAAGCGCTTTGTTTCCAATGAACGAAGCCATCATTTCCATATACGGAGGGAAAACTCGCAAACATCATCAGCGCTACCGTTTTCTTGACCATGAAACACGCCTCGTATTATCGGCAGCCCAACCAGAAAGCAGTAATGGAACGCTAGCTATTCCGTCAACTTGATAGGTTCATAAATATGTTGGTTCACACCTAGAGCGACTGACTTGCTCCTGTGTGAGTAGTCGTTGATGGCTTCAAGCCTGGTGTAAATCGGGGGCGGTTGTGGCTACATGGTTATTTATAGGTTAGACCGACTGGCGGGCAAACTCAGCCGCATTGGTTGGGCGAACAGCCTTGAACCCCATACAGCAACCTGCAGCGTCATCCTGTTCTTCCTGTACAACTTCAAATCCTGGTTCATCAGAATAAATTGCCTCTGTTCCACACTTATAGGTTCTCAGCGGAGTCTTGTCTGCGTATCCAATATGTCCCACCTAATACCTCTGGAGCCTCAACATGTGCAGAGAGACTTGAAGAGCAAAGATCAGTATCTCAACTCACTCCTCCCACATACCAAAGAAACCATGACACATGGTAAATACGGGATTACTGGAGATGCCTATGAGAAACAAATTGTGCAAGCAGAATACGAATGGCACATAAATGACACGTAAGTTGTATCTATCAGGATGTGCTGGCTAGTCTCGGTCTTGACAGTGTACACAAAGATATATGCCATATTTAAGACACGTTAAATCTCTATGTTCAGGCTGGCCACACCTTCGTTATCTCGTACACTGGATGCAAGTCACCACATCTCCGCTCAAGTGGAAACAAATCAAGCAGATAGATTCCGCCTTCAGGAACGAACGTGCCTCTCGGACTAAAGTTGCTGTTGTTGATTTTGCCGAAGGACAGGAGACGAAAATCCAAATCATTACCAACATCTCGGCGTTGGCCCAGGTTCTGGACGGACCATCCCCAGATACTCACAACCGGTTGTACATAGTCGAAGACCTGTCAAGAGACGTGATTGAGCAACTCGGATGGAAGCTTGATATCGACCCCTTGTTCTTCCGGGAACAAATCAGCGATTACAGGTGGTTTAATACGAGGGACCCCTGGGTCGAGATACCGGACCTAGACGTTCTGCAACGTAGCCGGCCTTTCTTCCGTCTCACCTGGCTCCAGCCGAGATATTTCAAAGACATCCATAGTGCCCAGGAGGCAAGGATACAGGCAGGCAATTTCAATGTCTTACGCAGGGTAGACGACGATAGCGAAAATGAGGCCTCGTTCACCGACGACAACGCGATAATAGGTCTCGTGAGAAAGAGAGGCTCCTTGTGGACTGCACCCACGTGTGCTAAAGACAATCATATTGGTGAGTGATCCACGGTACTGGAAAAGGTACAAGTACTTAGAATGCTTATAGGCGTACTGCTGGTCGATCCTGCAATCACTGCAGGCCACCCCGTATGGTCAGGCCATCGCCCACCCCAGAACTCTCCAACTCCATCCCAGCGGCAAAATATGAATGACTTCAGTCCCATGACGAGCCTGTTCGACGACGTGCTATTCCACATGACACACTTGTCCACCGCGGAAGCCAAGGCTATGGGTTCCCATTCGCCATTGATGGTCAACGGTTTGGTCCGAATCGCCTGCTCTGAGTGGTATCTGTTGGTGACATACATCACAGCCCGACTAGCTCAAATAGAACAGCAGATTGAACGGCCCAATTCCCGCCCAGACTCGAGTAAGCTGGACGCGGCAGTAGCCAAGCTCAACGACTGGAGGCGCCGCGTACTGACCTACAAGAGTATGGTGTACGATATGCAGCAGAAGCTTTGCCGCAAAGTTGACCACGATATAAACTCCGAGTTCAGTCTCCAGCGAGACGTTGAGATCATAGCGAGGCATCTGGAGTCGTTGTATGATCGTGCCTTGCGACTATTCGCGGTTGCGACGACTGCGCAAGCACTCCAGCAGGACCAACGGGCAATCGATGCTAATCGCCTGGGCACCGTCTCAACTTATTTCCTCATATTTGCCCCGTTGAGCCTCTTAAGCAGTATTCTAAGCATGAACGATGATTTGTCTGTCATGGCAAAGACGATCTGGATCTATTTCTGTGTTGCGGTGCCGGTGATGCTGATGTTCTACGTGTTGACTTGGGGACGGAAGAGATTCCTCTCTAAGATACAATCCTGGTCAAACACGGCGAAGTAGGCTCCATGGAGGTTGAGGCTGGTGGCAATGGGGACACCAGAGAAGCTGGCAGCTTAGTACTCAGCCCTCCAACACAGCTTGTGTCTAACGAGCAGTAGTGGCGTGCCGGAATAGAAATTTGATAGTCGACATTGCACATCCTGAGTGGTAATTTCTGTTGTGCTAGTCAACCTGATGTACTCGAAGGTACTAATGAACTTGTTCACACGCGTCTTGTTATTCTGGCGCAAGTCACGCAATGTTTTTCGACTGCCCTCTGCGAGATGTGAGGGCACTCTTCCGTGATGCTTCGGAGCTGATCTCCTAAGGAGAAATTCACACCTAACAGAGATGGAGCCAAATACTACCCAATCCCTAAGATACCATATACTATGAAACTTCCGACAAGGACTTGACCCGTCAGGAGGGAGTATGAATGGGGATCCAACTTTATTGATCGCCCATGTGATGACTACCTCTTGAAGAATAAGCCCATCTTATCAGGGCGTTGAGTGACTACTAGAATGAGGATTCAGCAAAGCGATCGCCCGTCGTATCGTTCGTCACTCAACCACCAATTTTGCAACCCACCACCTGAAAATACCGACTCGGCTGCTGACGAGAAACAAGATTGCGGTATCACAACGTACGATGATCTTCGCATCATCACAATCGTGAGTCTGGTGGACGCCGTCTCCGCGTCGAACACCCCCGCTCTGTCTATTGTCGTCTTGTATCTAGTGCCAGGTACGACTCTGCGCCTAGGTTTGATTGCCGTATTCAGCGCGCTGTCTCGCGCTGCCTGTAGGACGTGAATGATGGCAAGGCTGTAGAAGTGTTTGGAGCAGCTTCTGCGTAAGTTTCCTCGGCTCTAGAGCCAGTGATGTCGAGCTAATAAGATCATTATGATTCAGACTGAACGCTCGGAACAATCAGCTAATCGTCTCATGGCAGGTTTGCCGCAGTCCAAGTCGATCTCACCGGGACAAACGGACCGAGAGATTACGGTCACACGGATCAACAGCTACCGGAACTATCGCACTAAGAACGGCGTGGTTGAGCTGTTTCGTGGTCAGGGGTAGAAGTTCTGTCAATTCGTATTGGCTTACCCACTATACAATGATTCCCAACAACGTGATAGCTAAGCTCCAACTGTCAATTTATTATGCAAAAGAAACAGAGGGGAAGCCGGTGGGTCTCGCGGTTCGTAAGTAGTCGGCCCCAGAGCACTTTTCGAGGTAGTGACGCACAAATAGACTGGTGCACTATGTGAGATCGGGAATATCTTCGAGATATTCGTTCAATTCCTTGCTGTGTCTTTAGGAGACTGTGAAAGGTGCTCCGTATTGGTAATCCGTCTTGAAGCTACTCCTCGAAATACTTCAAAGTCTATAGGTCACAGACTGGGAGGTGCTCAGTACCTATGCAAGATGTTTTCAAGGTCCAAAGTCGCGCTTACTGCCCCTTCGAGGAACAATTCGAATTGGAGAACGACGAGCATTAGTGTCCGTAGCTCGAGAAAAAGTCTCGAAGAGGCCGTGAGCGCGGTTCGGCATCGAGGGTATAGTTCGCAGAGCTATCTGGCTCGCCGAAACACGACGTCAACCAACCCTACTGCTG